AACTGAAAGGAAGTAGACAACATAAGTAAACTGTAAGCCTTACAGAAGCAGATGTGTTCATGGGCCCCGACCCTGCAAAGACTTATGCGTGGTCATCTTTTCACACATGGGCAATCCCAATAGAGCCAATGGGCATAAGTCATTAAAGAATCGGGGTCTGAGTGGAGGAACCGCCGGACTGGGACGCAGGAGGCCTGGGATTCTATTCCCATGCTGCCACTGGTCTCCTGGGAGGCCTTGAGCAAGTCACTGCTTCTCCCTGTGCCTCCGCCCCCCCAAATCTGTCAAATAGGGACAATGATACTGATGGCGTTGGCAAAGCCCTTTGAGATCTAGTGATGATGCACTCTATGAAGGAGGCAGTAATAGTGCGTGAAGAGGTGCATCGCTACTTGAAACACTGATATCCCCTTCTCGGTTCAGAAATGGCATCCCCAAAGGGCAGAGGAGAAATGGGAACCAACAGCTTCCATCCATGTCACAAACTGCAGGTGTGAATAGTTGGATCAGAATTTAAAATAGACACAATAGATGCACCATAGTAAAGTACTTAACTCTTCTGCCCATTCACTCATTGCAATTTTTTTCCTGGTGCACAATTTTATTTTCTTCACTGACTGCTTATAGACTCAACGTTTACACTTAAAATACAGAACTAGCTGGAAAGAGTAATGGACAGATGCACCCAATTAACACTGAATAAGACGTGCATATCCATCCATTCAAAGTTAATAAAGTGATCAGATTTTAAAATAAACGACAGTTACCAAGTCACTAAATGCTAGCCTCTAGCTTCCGGATTGGTTTTTTTTTTTTCAGTTTAGTGTTGCTTTGATGCTGATTTGTATCATTTGCAAAATGTTATTGATAACCCAGTACAACATGCTGACGTCAATACAGTCCTTACTGAGTGCAAGCGCCATCCTTGGGCCAGAGTTTCTGGTTCGCAGAGATTATGCTTTGCAAACTGGGTGCATTTCCTGATTCTCTTTTGGCCCTGGTGCAGGTTAGAGCAACCTCGGGAGTGCTCTAACTAGTGCTAGCTTGGCAAGAAACCATCCACTAGTTCAGAATAGCTGGAGTGATCACGGTCCAGCCACTCCTCCTTCCCTGTTCCTACATGCTCCTCCTTGCCCCTGCAGGGAGGATAGCATTGGAGTTGATTGTACCAGCTCTGCACCCACTTGTGACTCCCCCATACCAAGCTAGGGGGATGCAGCCAATTTCCATTCCCTCTGCACTGTATGAGCAGTACAAAGGGTATGTAGCAGGAGAGAGAATGTGCCCTGTTGTTCCGCCCCGCCACCCCCGTTGTTTCTATATGGACCCATGGCACATAGGACATGTATGATACATTAATATTTCTATGCATTTCTCACCCATCCTGTCCATTCTTCCCCTCCTAGTGCGCAGCACCTTGGAAAGTCAAGCCAGCAGCAGCAAAGGCCAACAGTGGATGGATCAGTGGCTGAATGCTGCAGCAACTGGGGCAAACAGGCAAGCGTTCTCATCACTCAAGATCTCACCTGTCGCCATCAGCACCTGATACAGAACGCTGCACCAGTGTCACCTGACACCCATAGCTAGCACCCCTGGGCCTGCACGTAACCCACTTCCCTATGCCTTTAAATAGTCAACCCTTGCAACCTGGCTCCACCCCTTCCTCCCCCTTTGACTGTTCAAACAGCTACACCCCTCTCCTGGAGAAACCACCCTTGAAATCACTAGGCACACTCCACCCCTTGCCAACACCCCTCTACCTCTCTCCTGTGGTAACAAGCTTGCACAGCTCTAAGGCATGGACCTGGGCCCCATCTCCTATAGGAAGGCATCGGAGGGTTGTCACTTCCAGGTTTTCTATGCTGCCCATCAGCCTTTCCCTTGAAGAGGATTTGCCTCCATTGATAGGTGTCATCACAGCCCCAAGGGAATCCTGTAATTGGTATCTGTCCTGCAACCTTTATTGCTCGGCTGCATAAGAGAGTTTCTGTTTATAACCCCTGAATAATATCTCCTGAACTGCAATATCCAAAACAAAAGTGATTGATACCCCCCGACACTTGTTTCTCTAGAAGAGATGTGGTCGCCTGCCAATTGCCTTCCTGTATTTTGAATGTAAATGATTCTCCAACTCAACTGCCATACAGACGGCCCAAGTGAGCAGAAGAACAGCCCTACCTACGCCAGCCGGAGCTGGGACCAGGCATCTTTTCAGCTATTTTGCTTGTGCCACCCTTTTTTACAATGCTCGTGCAAGAGGCTGAGAACGCCAGCCAGTGCCACGGGCAGATGTATTACAGGCTTTTCCACCACAGGCTGTCCTATGGATGAGCCTCAGACCGACGCGTAGGGCCCTTTTTATCGCACGCCTTGACCCTTCCTGAGCACAGACGATCATGCTACATTAAACCCGTGTGTTGTGTCTGCTAATGTCTTTGTGAACCATGGAAGGGGACTAGGGGACGCTTGTCCAAATGGTGTCTTCTGTCCATTGAGATCCTTGGACTAACGGAGCTTGGATGAAACCAGGGCACATCATCCCTTGTGACCTAACTCAGGTCTTGGAAAGAGAATGCTAGTGCACTAACTCATTGCACCATCCAACTGCCCTTTGCTACTATATTTGTGAAGCACTGACTAGGTGATTGAACTGTACAGAACAGAGTAAGACACGGTCTCTGCCCCACACTGTCAAAGGAGCCTGAACCAAGGTGTGAACCCACACTGCTGAGCTCAGAGCCAAGATACTTTGCAACTGTGGTTTGGTTCTGCAAATACTGATATCATGGGTTCACGCCTCTCTTATGTGCAGGCTGATGCTTACATCGGGGAATTTATTAATGCTCCCGGCAAGGCGTAGAGGGCAGGAGAAAAAGATCCCAGTCACAGTGCTGACCTGGAACAAAACTGAAGGGATACGGCTACAGTGTCAAGTAACCCCAGGCAACAAGTAGGGTGACCTTGTCCGTGAAGAAAGAGCAGTGGTTCAGCACTCTGTGTTTGTGTGTGTGTGTGGGTGGGGGGGGGCGAGGGGTAGGAAACATTACAAAGAATAAGGCTTAGAGTGCTTGGATTTGGGGGTTCACTTGTGCCGTGGGTCTGGAAGGATTCTGGTTCTGGTTCTAAGCTGCAGGGCATGTTTATAAGGAGCTTGCTGGTGTCGCTGGGAGCACTCTCAGACAATTAACATCGTTCAGTCTTTACAATGGGCTAAGCCCAGGGGCTGATTCTTGCAGGATACTCAGTGACACTTGCCAGGAGGAAGGATCTGCTCATGATTAAGGCATGGGCCTGGCAACCAAGAGGACCTGGAGTTTATTCCAGCACTGAGTCCCAGATCCTCACAGGTATTTAGGCTCCTGACTTCCACTGAATGGAAGTTAAGAGCCTAAATATCTTAGAAGGGTAGAGTGTTGTTATTACGGTATAGAACAAGCAGGAGGGGAGGGAGGTTCTGGCAACATCCCAGTGCCCAAAGCAAAGGGGCACGCCCTCTGAATGTCAACAAGTCATTCCACCCCATTCCTGTAAGAGTACCGGTGCGAACCGGCTGGTGCTTCCATTCAATCAAAAGAGCCCGCCCTGAGGTTCAGATGAAATCCATGAAGATCCCTGGGTCTGAAGACCTGACCTGGACACCTAAGAGTACGGAGGAGCAATAACGACCTCACAGTTAAGGTGTCAGCAAGTTTTCTCTTTAATTCTTAAGCGCCTCGCTTTGGAGCAGCGCTTTCTTTGTATTCTTCTCTTCCTCTCCCCTCCCCCCACGGCTGGCTGTGTTTTTTCTCCCAACGGGGACCCGAGCCGGTGCTGGTGGAGGGCAGTTACAGGAACGCAGTGGTGCAGCTGACATTTACTAATCAGCTCTAACCTGAGATCCACACACACACTGTCTCGCTGGCTGTCTTGTCTCCATGGAGACACTGCAACCTTTGCTCACTAGTTAATGGTATCTGGGAACAGACGCCACCCTTCCTCCCAACGCCCTCTCCCGCACACCCAGAGGAAATGGGAACTTGCCCACTGCAGGACAATTTGCTTCCGAAGCAGGGGAGGAAGGTGTCCCTGTTTGCATGGCTAATAAAGAGGCAAGCAGAACTTGGCCCTGCTTGTGTGATATGGGGAGGGAGGGGGGGATAGTGCTGCAAGTTATGATGGCGCATCACCACGGTTTTATGGATGGAGAGATCGTCTTATTGCCCAAAGACCCACCAAGAAAACATATTCAAGGTTTTTTGTTTTTTTTTATGACAGCAGTGGTAAGGGTCTCTGTCATAGCGTACAATGGTGTCCTTGGCAGGGTTCTACATTGCTAGGCAGGGCAAAATTCGTGCCGTTCATGGCTCTCTGGTGGATGTCATTCCCTCCTCCTTACTGTAGCGGACACACACAATCATCCAGCCCTGAGGGTCACCCAGGCTTGATTATTATTATTTAACGGCAGATTTCGGGGTCGGTGCCGACGAAATCAGCCGAGCAGCCCGAGAGGTTATGGTGACCCAGACGCCTGGGTTTCCTGAAGTTATAGTTACACATACTCAAAAAAAATCCTCATGTATTTAATACTGACATGACTGCGGGGCCTGCTAGGGCAGCAGGAAAGTCAGAGCACAAAGCTTCCTGGGACAAATGCAGTGAATTCCAACCACAGGGGGGGCCAGGAACATGCTCCCTTCCCAGAAGTGCCCTGCTCTCATCTATTCTGTTCTGAAATTAACATGGGAAAGATGCCCATTACCTGCTACCAGATAATGACTATGATTAGGCGTATCTCTACTGCCAGCCGAGATCTAAAGGGTTCTGTGTACTCCAGCAGAGTTTGCAGTTGCAAAAAACCCAAGAGCAATAAGGTGTAAATAAAAGACTAAAGAAAATAGTGTTGTCCACCACAAAAGGATGCGGGCAGAACCAGCTCTAATGACATTTTATAGCACCATTCGGTGCTAGTGATCGGCGCCTCGGGAGGGATGAAGCAAAATAATTGGACGCAAACGAACTCAAACCTTCGCCCAGAATTCAAACCTGAACTTTACTTTGGTGATTCCAAAAATGTGAATAGCTTCTCCCCCCCCCTTGTTTTTAAAAGTCATTTGCAAATTTGCACTTCCTGGTTCTGGACGGAAATAGATGAGCTGAAATACAATGAGACGGGCAAGGCGTCAGGCCAGCCTAACCCAAGTGGTAGGAGCTGGTGTCTCAAGAGAGAGCCAGCTCTCGTGGGATCTCCAGCCCACTTTTTAGACGGCATGTGGGTGCAGCAGTGTCATTAGTGGAACAGTCTGTGTCGTTGGCTGGAAGTCTGAAAGGTGCCAACAGGAATTAGGTGCCCAGGTCTAACTGAATCCGAGTGTGAATTGGGCACCGAACTCCTTTAGCCTCCTCTGAAAATCCCAGCTGATCTTAACAGCAACAGGCCAACAGGCCAACAGTTGCCGATTCCCTGCCTCTCGCTTCCATTTGGCAAATGCACTTGCTGATGCATCCAGGTTAGAATGGCTCCCCCAGCAACGGAACACTGGCAATTCATCTCCCTTCCTTCCCAGGTCTGCTGTGGTCATTTCAGTGGCTTTTGGAAGCAGGGGGCCAACACAAACAGCAGTTAGAAGCACTGCTGTACCTTCTCCCACAAGGCATCAGCTCGGCTTCTTATTGTCTGTGCTGCCAGGTCTTGGTGCCCCGGCATGCTCCTTGCTTCATCAGGAAGGACGTGAGCTGGACACTCAGGCTCTTCCACGTGCTCAAGGCCAGAGCAGTGGTTAGATGGTCTTGTGGGAGGAGTGTCAACTATCAGAGGGGTAGCCGTGTTAGTCTGAATCTGTAAAAAGCAACAGAGGGGCCTGTGGCACCTTTAAGACTAACAGAAGCTTTCGTGGGTAAGAATCTCACTTCTTCAGATGCAAGTGGGAGGAGGTATTTGGAACCTCGGCACCTTTGAGTCTCTTAAGCTGGTTTTTAGTCCCCATTGAAGCGTCCATCTGAGTGGCTTTTGCTGTCAGAGCCACAGGTCTTGGATCTCTGTTAGCGCTTCCTGGATTCATCTTCAGAACCCTTTTGGCTGCATCATCCGTCCCTGGAATGCAGCAGAATTCCGCCCGGGGTGCGTTGTGGCCAGCCGGGACCTAACAAGCACACCCATTCCGAGCTCGGCCAGGAGCCAGGTTTGAAAATACCCAGCTCCACCCTCACAAATGCCCACGGTGTGCCCCCTTTCAGTACATCCAGTACGTGTTGACCCAGCTCAGGGTGTAGGAGCTGCTGGCATTGAAGAGTTCTTTGTGCAGGAAGAGCTGCGGCTTCTGCAGGTCCTTGAAGCTATGGAACAGCCGAAACCCTCTGGCCTCTAGTGCCTTCAGCAGGCTGTACCAGTACCGCACCACGGCTGCCTCGCTCCCACTGACCTCAAAGCCGGGCCAGTGGAGGTGGATGGCGAGGATCAGCTGGTGCACTGCGGCCACGGTGCCATCCACAAGGATACTCTCCAAAATCTTCCACTCGGCGCTGGCCAAGTCCGCCTCCAACACGTCGATCTATCCCAGGGAGAAAGAACAAGCAAACTCAGCTCCTCTAGTCAGCACTGCCCAGGGACTGGTGCTGTCACGGGAGGGGACTAGGCTGGGGCAGGCCAAGAGAAGTCTGAAAATGAGACATCTGGACACACCTGGGAGGGAGTGGTGAAAAAATGAGCCCTACTGCTCTTAGCCAAGCTCCGCCAACATCCTTGTTTAAGGCTGTTTCTGAGAGCTGAGGAGCTATCCATTGACGTTTGCGGCCTGATTCAAAGTCTGTTGAAGTCAATGGAAAAGCTCCCATTGGCTTTGGCTCAGCCCCAGCGTGCAGTTGTTCTGTTAGCAATAGCGGAGATGCCCTCCAGCTGGGGACTGGCCGAGGGATGGATTAGACCAGAGGAGCTCAGTCTGCTTCACATGGCCCCCAAAAGCAAGTTCTACTTGTGGGCACCTCTCATCACAGCCTCCCAACTGGACCCTTCGCTTTCCCGATGACAGCCAGAAAGCCCAGGAACGCCCATGGGTTGCAAGAGGATGAGATGGAAGTAAACTCAGCTAAATGTGGCAGGGGTGCGCTTTTTGGTTACATCCCCCTATTTCGTCTCTGTGCTGTGGATTTCCGCTCTCTGGGATCAGGCCGGGGCATTTATTGGGAACAAAGGCCCAGATCCACAAAGGTATTTAGGCTCCTCACTTCCACTGAAATCCACGGAAGCAGCCCTATTGCTCTAGGATGGAATTTTCAAAGGAGCTGGGTTCCCAAACCCCATTAAAATCCAATGGGAGTTGGGCGCCGGATTCTTAGGCACCTTTGAAAATTCTAGCTCTAACCTCTCCGGGTCACCTTGCACATCAGTTCTGTCCTCTCGCATATTCGCTGCCCTTCCAGTTTTGGTGTCTTCCTCAGATTGGCTTGTGGTTGAATTTACACCAAGGAAGACGTGAACTAGCCGCCTGAGATGCAGAGAGGGAACTGGATTTTAGGCTTCTCTGTGTATGACATCTAACGGGTGGATGGTGATGGGGCGGGGGGGACGATGTTATCAGATCCCATTACCTTCTTGTGGCCGAAGTCCTCCATGATCTGATGTAGCCTCTTGGAAGGGCTCCTCCGTCTCTGCGAGGAGGTGACCGGGCGTCGCTCGTGCCAGTCCAGCCACAGCGCATGGTGCTGCACCTGTCCTTTCTGCCAGAGGCCTGTCTGCTTGTAGGGGGTCAGGCCAAAGCTGTGCACCTGGCACTGCATTTCGCTCATCCGCTGGCTGAACTCAAAGCCCCTTTTGACCATGCTACAAACGAAGAAAGGGAGAGAGGCACTTTCAGGCTCTGCAAAGCTAGGCTGACCTGCAGAATATGCAGGTGCAAGGCAAAGCATGATGGGTAACGTTATGCAAACTGAGGCAAAGGCACCCTGGCTGACTTTGTTCCAGCCCTGCCGCTGTGGTTCCAAGCAGGTGGGTTTTCTTTACCCTTCAGGTGGCTTTTCAGATGCAGCCAGTCACTGCGAAGCCCACTGATAATAGGGCAGCTAAAGGGACTGCACAGGGGACATCTCTGAAGAAGCAAAGGGATTCGCTGGAGACATCAGATCTTATAGACTTTCTGCAGCTTCAGCCCTGCTCTGCAGTGATGCACCTCTAACCTGCCTTGGAGTTTTGGCTGCTCTGAGCCCCAAGTTTACAGCCCAAGCATCGGGGCAGATTGGAGAGCAACCGAAAGGAAAAACCGGTTCTATCAGGGCACCCGGGCCCAGTTAAGGGAGGGAAGGGAGGCCCAGAGCACCGACTATCATGACAGTAAAAAGAACAGGAGTACTTGTGGCACCTTAGAGACTAACAAACTTATTAGAGCATATGCTTTCGTTGATTACAGCCCTCTTCTTCGGATGCTTCCCGAAGTGGGCTG